ATTTATTTTAATAGTGCCCAAAATCTGTCGCAGAGTGGATTGACACTAATGACCGTAGTTCTAGCATTGTACTGTAGGGGAGTCTGTGTGTTGGATGGGGCTAAGTTTTTTTTGCAGATCACCAAAATGTATAACATATCTGAGTGGAATTATTATTATTATTAAAGTACTTTCATTAAAGGAGAACTATGGGGTTAAGTCTTTTCCCCATAGTTCTCCTTAGGGTAATGGGAGGACACAAACTAGCGTCCTCCCGTCACCTTAGGCTCAGTATACCACGAGCTACAGCTCGCGGTATACTGAGACGCCGCAGTATCCCGCCAGCTGCTGCTCGCGGTATACTGAGACGCCGCAGCTGAAGCGGATTCCGACAATTGTGCCGGGATCCGCCCAGCTGCGTGACTGACAGCAGGCTCTGCCTATCTAGAGGCAGAGCCAGCTGTACCCGCCCCCTCCCCCGTCTGTCCGCCAGTCAGCGCTGGCGGATCGGAGCGGGGGGAATCCAGCCCCTCCCCTGTCACTGCAGAGAGCCGTGACAGGATCGAGAGGTGAGCGAACGCCGGTAACTGTTCGCTCACCTCCCGATCTACTGAGCCGACCTGTGACAGTCTCATTATCACAGGTCGGCTAGAACTATGAGGTGAGTGAAAAGCACTCCTGACTCTGATTGCAGAGGCCACAAATGCACTCATGCACCCTCTCAAGCAGATTCTATATGCCCATATAGAATCTGCTTGAGAGTCCCTCAGGGGGGCGGGCTTGCGATGATCGAGAGTACGATCTGCCTGTCCAAGATGGGCAGATCGTACGTTTTTTTAATCACTTTACAACAATCGCAAGACTAAGGTCTTGCGATGGTTGTACAGTGTATGGCCACCTTTAGTCTGATTTACCCCCAGCCATAGCAGCTTCTGAGCCATGGACAGCAGGCTGTCTGATTCTAAGTAACTTAAATCTTTGGTGAACTTATATAGTGCACACCACTCTGAAACAAGAAGATCAGCCTGTTGTTTCTACCAGTGCTGTTTCATGTCTTTGGGCCTTTAAGACTCCTAAGGCCACAAAAACTTTCTCTTTGCACCCGCTATTCCAACTTTTTCTCTATGGTGATTGGAGTCACTCTGATAAGTTGTTTGCTCACCCTAAATCCCTACTGGCTTTGTATCTGTTTTGTGAGGATTTTGTTCAGACCTGTTCTCACCGTGGATCTGACTCACTCCTTAACAAGGCGACAACCATGCCAGTGGAGTATGCACCTGCCCTAAAGGACCCAAGCAATAAAGACTTTCTAGAGCTCTGCTCTCACTGGCAAGTCCCACCCTGCACCTGATTCTGGCTGCAAATTTGCTTTGTCAAACTATGTCTAACAATGCAAAATCCCTTAAGGATCTAGCCACTGCTGCAGTTGATCCCTTGCTCGATGATTGAGTGGAGCAGACGGCTATAGCATTCAATTTCAGGGTGTAACAGTTTGCAGGAAGGCCCACATCTTCTCTCTCCCATGTGTCTCTTGTTATACTGTACACTATGTGTAGGCCACTTTGGCTGAAGTGCTGGAATGCAGAATTGTTGTACAAGAAGTGTGTGATCCACATTGGCCATCAAAGGACAATCTCTCTTCGCATCAGTTCTTGATATTGTCTTTAAGAATAACACTGGAACCAAAAGCACCATTCTTATTTAGCAGAAGAAGCCTAAGGAGCAGGAAACAAAGTTATCTTGCTGCCCGTTGAGAAACGGCCCTTTTAGTTTCTCCATCCCTCAAGCTTTGCTCCCCATTTTACAGTATGGGGGAACATCTGTTGGCCTTTGTGGATGCTTGTATAGCTTGCATTCCAGATCCTTGGGATCGGGAGGTGGTGTCCCAGGACTACAAACTTAAGTTCTGCTTTATGTCTCCTCCTTGTTTTCTCACTACCATCCTCCCTGTGTCTCCACACAGATTAGCAGCTCTCCAACAGGCCCTCTTGGGCCTTCTAAATTAAGGTGTCATTGTTTCTGTCCCTGCAGCAGAATAGTTCCTGGGATTTTACTCCACCCTGTTCACTGTTCCCAAACCAAAAGGGGGGACATTCACTCATCTTGGACCACAAGGCTCTGTATGTTTTCATTCAGGTCTAAAAGTTCCAGATGGAGTTCACCAGATCTGTTATTGCCTCACTTCACCTTGGAAACTTTCTGGCTTCTGTGGACATCAAAGATGCTTGCTTACATGCACCCATCTTTCCAGTGCGTCAGCTATTTCTGTGCTTTGCCGTGGGTACCCAGCACTACCAGTTTGTGGCCCTGCATTAGGGCCACTCTTCTGTACCTCTAGTGTTCATCAAGGCCCTGACCCCAGTGTTATCCCTGTTGTGTTCTCGTGGCATACTTAGATGACTACTATTAAGGTAACATTTGGCGAGGGCTCCATCGGACAGCGTTTGATGTTAAAAAGGTTTGGGTGGATGCTAAACCCCTAGAAACCATTGCTGTAACTGACTCATCGCTTGTAATATCTGGTTCTGGCCCTGTAGAACAGAAAAGCTTCAGATTCGTTGGCCACGGGCTCAAAATCTTCTGCCTTAGAGTCTTGGGGCTGATGGTAGTCTCCTTAAAGGCAGTTCACTTTGCCCAGTTTTACTCCAGAAATTAGCAATGCAACATTCTGTTGTCATGGGACAAATCAGTCCTGTCTCTAGACAGGCCCATTAGGTGAACACCAAAGACTTTCTCATTCCATTATTTCTAGGTCGATCAGACAGACCATCATTAAAGCTTTTGGTCTCAAGGATCAGGTCCCCCCGTTTGTGTTAAGGCTGCTACCTGGTCTTTTGTTCATACATTCTCTAGGTTCTACCAAGTGAATGTTTCTGCCTCCTTCGATGCCAGCTTTTAGTGTAAGGTCCGTTAGGTGGTTCCCCTGCAGTGAAAGTGGCACATGCAGAGAGATTTTCTAACAAGGGGGAAAGCCTGCCTTTGTTATAATGAGCACCTTGCACCATCAGTGGCATGTTATCTACCTTGAGGAACACAGAGTCACCCTGATTGTCACAAGCAATGCTCAGAAACAGGAGCATTGGTTGCCATAACTGGGTTATTTAGAGGCACAGAAAAAGCGCCTTCAGTTAAACATTATAACAATACCTCCAACTGTGGAAAAACAGTAACTTGCCTTTAATGCAAAACTCCAGTCGAATAAAAAATACCCCTCAGTAAAAAAAAACAAAAAAAAACAGCACTGTACTACTTACCCTCTCCAATGCTGCCCTCCTGTGTTCTGCTCTGTCACCAGCCACTATCATTATTTGTTTGAATGACACCCAGCATCACACACACACACACTGCAAAGAATGCCACTTATGCCACTACTTGAGCATTATTCTGCGAAGAAAAAAATGAGAGGAACACTTACTGTCGCTCCTAGAAAATACCTTTTTTGTGTGTGTATGTGGAGGGGCAGCAGAGTGGGACAGGATTTTGGTAGGATGGAGGCCCTTGTCATGGTGTTGGACATTTCAAGATCACTGTTATATTTTCTATACAATATGTTCACTGTTTTATTTTGTTCAGTTTTACAAACAGAATTTACATTGATATATAAAAAAAATGACTGGAGAAATCCTATAGGACCAGTAAATCCAGTAAAGTATAAAACAATTGGAAATCAGCTGATAAGTGTACAATTATAGGCAGTGTGAAGACACTAAAGAAGTTGAGATTGTTCACGCAATAAAATAAATAAATTGTGAATATTCAATTCCATTATCCAATTATCTGCAGATGCAATAAGTAAACAGGGATTTGCCGTTCATGTGATTGGGTAATTGAAGTCAACATTCACACAATTGAATCTGTTAAAACTGTCAATTTCTTAAGTAAATTAGCATGTCTGTTGCTTAGTTATGTATGCGAACTTCAGTATACATTGCAAGGAACAAAGGTCAACATACTTAAAAGAAGAATGCCATGTAAAACCTTTCAATTGGAGTAGACAGAATTTGATCCCATGTTGGGTATTTATTGCTCTAGGTGACCTCAGAAATCTCCTCCAGCAGCTGTAGTTGTTGCTCTTCTTATTGAGGATCGCATATTGGCTAATGCAGGAAACTGAATATTCTGTCCTTACTGTCATTGTTTAAGGCTTACCTAAGAAAGATAGATATTTGGCCCTTATTTAGCTTCCCTTACTCTGATGAAGACTCTAGGACAGGGGTATGCAAATTCCGTCTCTCCAGTTGTTGAACTACAAGTCCCATAAGGAATTGCAAGACTATTCCAGTGGCAGATGCATAATGAGATTTGTAGTTTTATAACACCTGGAGGACCAAAGTTTGGCTACCCCTGCTGTAGGCTCTGGGAGTAAGAGGTGAAAGGTCAACTGAAGCCTGACCGCTGCTGCTCTGCCAACAATCCGACATCATCTGGATAACATAGTGGGGTTGCTTTACTAAGGGCAAACTTCCATGTCAAGTGAACATCCTATTTGCCTTTAGTAAATCAATCCCACTGTCTCCTGAGTGTGCACAACAGCATCACATAACAGAGCCCTGTAGGTAAGAGGAGTGTAAACAACAGGGCTCTGTTAGATATTTCTATTCCTACATAAAAAAAAGGTTTTGCTATCAGCCTGAATATAGCCAAATGACACGGCAGCAACTGTCAGGAGGCTTCTCACCTCTGACTCTAAGCTACAAGAGTAATCCTTTATACTCCGTGCATCATCCAATACTTTTCAAGTCAACTTTACAGCTCTGAACCTCTCCTGGACTGCTGATCTGGGTCAGTCATAAAGAACTGGAGCCACATGATTAGCATGATAGCCAGGCAACTAACATATTGAAAAAGGAGGGTCAGCCCATGTATATCTCTCAGGACAAGTGTTTTAAAGGACACTTGCCCTAAAATAACCTCACACACACCCTTTAGACCCACACAACTAAAAAGATATAGACTGTATATACAGAGAATTCTCAAAAAGTTTACAGAATGTCACAGGAAGCTCAGCTGTTGGTTGGAGTTCCACTGGAAAAGCTAAGATGCTACACAATGACAGAACAAAATATAAATGACTAATCATTTCAAAAATAACACTTTCGTTCAAAAGAACATTATTTCTATTGTCTTCTTCGAATATGTAACTCTTATCCCTCAGTAAGTGCAAAAAAAGGCCAAAATTGTTCATATTGGTTTTCACATTCTCTGCACCCGGTCGTGCCCAAGGAACTTCAGTCCTCTTTGGTGGTGCGGAACTCTGGCATGCTCCACACGCGTCTAGTGGGCTCTAACTCCCGTTCAACGTCCTCAGAAATGGTCTTAATGTCACTGGCGAAAGGATAGATCCTGGCTCGAGACTTGAAGGTGGTGAGTGATATGGCTCGCTTGGTGTTCCACTGCCTGGCCAGTTTCTTTGCATCGTCCTCCTCTTTCATCTTCTCATTTGCTTCCTGTAAGACGGATCGGAAGAGATGAGGGACTTCCTGGACGTCGGGCTCGTACTCTGCCACCAGTTGACGGAATCTGAAAAACAGATCATGAATGGTTCAGTCCACTCAAAAGTTATCTTTGATTTATCTGTATTTTATATGTATCAATAAACTGTTGGGCTCTGTAATTCCACCCAAAGCTGATATTTATTTCTGATATACGTGGCTGCTGGAAAGTAGACTTACTTGCTGGTGTGACAAAGAAGCACTGAACAATGATACAACACTGCAGTTAATGCACTAAAGTCTAATCAGTGTTGTCACCTTATTTAAGGTTTCATCAGTGGCATGACCACCAGGTATTTAAATCATTATAGAAGCTTCAAAACTCCTTTGCAGGTGGGTAGGTTTTAAATAGCTGTACTGGGTCATTTTTTGTGGAATTGCCTAGTTCTGGTTTAAACAAAGTTTAATGTTTTTTGTAAATTTTTAACAACATTTCATAAGTTTCTAAACTAGTGTTATGTCCATTTTTGAACTATATATAAAAATTTTGGTCCTACAAATTAACTAGGTGCAACTATGCCAAAAGAACAAAGAGCATTCTGGGTTAGTTAAACAAAGAGTACAGCAGTAGTTGTTTGCCTTCACACTCTCTGTCTCTGATTGAAACTTTGATGCAAACTTCAAATGTACTGCGCTTTACTGGTACTAGGCAACTCCGAGAATCCTCGCAAGCTCTGTGTATATTGACAAAGGCCAACATTTATATGAAAAAATACATTTTAAAAAAGTAACGGAGCGCACTGGATAGTGCAGATAAAACTAGCGCACTGGATAGTGCAGATAAAACTAGCGCACTGGATAGTGCAGATAAAACTACTTTATTAAAATATAATTAAATAATGCAATGGAATATCACCACAGATGTCTTCCAATGGAATGCAAGGTCACACAGGAATGGTGCTGAAACACTCTCACACAATGGGCAGCAGTAGGAGAGGAGACAAGCCAGGTGGAAAACTCTGGGAAAGCCTGAGCATCCGAGATGATTTCTGATGGCGGGGCACAGCCCAAAATTATGTCAGTGTTGTGTAGGTACTTGTTCACCAAGACTACAAGTACGGTCCCCTGTCTTTCCAGCAGCGTGGGATGTTTTGTAGCTTACTTCATTCTGGGAGCAACAAAACCTGATTTCTGAGCAAGAAAGCGCTGCCTCGCTCTTCCAGTTGGCGAAGGAGTGACAGATGCAGTCAGGTAAGTGTTTTCATCCCCTGCTGTACCCTCCAAACCATTCCTATCCCTGGCAAGTTTTCACCAGCAACAGGATCACCTGTGTGATATGACCCTTAAATTGAGTTTAAGCTATTGAGCTCTGTAAACTGGCATTTTTTAGCAATTTAGGTAAGACTAGTCTGGCAAGTGTGAAAAGGAGCCCCAAGCTCTGTCTCTGGCTGCAGTGAAACTACAAAATATTCATGCAATGCAATGTTTCACATTAACCTGAAGCTATGGCCAGCTATGCATTTATGATATGACCAGTGGAGTGTGCCAGGAAAGGGTCATCGTTACCAGTTGGTGAACTTGCAGATTTATATGTTTATGGCTATGGCTGTGATGTTGGTTTGTATTGGGCGGAGGGGTGATCCATCCTGGCCAATCATTCCAAGCAGGTTTAGAAGGACACATTGGGAAGAGCCTACTACAGATATACAAATGTTCTCTAGCCTACCGTAATAAGGCTGGATTGGGCAAGCTGTAGGTACTTTTAGACAAATCCTGACCAATCATACCAAGCAGGTTTGGCTGGGCACATTAGGGAAATCCTACGGGTATATAAATGTTCTCTGAGCCCACCCTAATATGACAGGATTGGGCAAGCTTTCTCATTGTCTGTAGGTATCTTTAGACAAATCCTGGTCAATCATGCCAAGCAGGTTTGGCTGGGCACATTGGGAATAGCCTACAGGTATACAAATGTTCTCTGAGCATACCCTAATATGGTTGGATAGGGCAAGTATCCTTATAGTCTGTTGTTACCTTTAAACAGATTCTGAGCAATCATACCAAGCAGAGTTCGCTAGACAAATCGGGAAAAGACTACAAGTATACAAACATTCTCTGATCCCGCCGTAATACATCTGGATTGGGTAAGCTTTCTCATTGTCTGTAGGTACCTTTAGACAAATGAAGGCTCTACTCATAATTTCATGTTCTTCAGACATTTACTTTATTATGTCTCTCAGAGAATAGCAGTGATTCATCTCAAATTGGATTTTTAATGAATCTATTCATTTCTGTCTAAGCTCCATTATTAATTATGTCTCTGATCTAATTGAATTCATTATAAACAGTAAAGGTGAAGTACACAAGCTTGGCCTTTTTGATTCTTTGTCACACAGATGACAAATGTAATTAAAGTGCTTTATGTCAGTTTTGTAATAAGCACCAGGGCAAGCGGCAAAGCAGGAAGAGCTAGAGAAAAGCTCGGTCACCCCCTCTGTCTCTCTCCTACGCAATGGTCCTTCTTGTAGGTGTGATGTACACTGGAACTCCAGCCAGTTGGCTCCATACACACAAACTAAACATTCTAACTGCTAACACATATTAAGTTCTCTTTAGCCAGCCTTGTGACTGAGAGCCTAGCCATCCTATAAAAGAAGGTGACACCGCTGTTCACCATCATGGCTTGGCAGCTTTCTGTGTCACCTTCAGCAGGCTCATTAATCTTTTGTACAGTGTATACTTTTGTACCACTAGATTAAAAACGTCAGATATCCCTAAATACAATTTTTAGACATCTCAAATCAGTAAAAATCTATGCCGTATTGTATTAACATTTAAGAAGTACGTAAGCAAACTTTTTCAAGTATGAGTCACCTGTGAGCATTGCTAAGCATAATTCAGGCACAATTTAGTCTACAAGTTAGGCCATATCTTCAGACAATGATTAGCTGGATCAAGTGCTGGGGATTTGTTTACAATCTAATACTGGACACATACTTCATAATAGTGGATTGCACTTCTACAGCCATTTTAAGTTGGGCATACACAGAGCAAATTTCAGCCAGTTCTTGATAAACAGGCTAAAATTTGCTCCATGGGTAACCCTGTTGGTAGCCGCCTGTCCAGCAACCTTTGACCTAAAAAACGAGCCAGGAAAAAAATTCTTAGGCAAACATTGACTGCAGTCAATGGGCTGCAATCACTCTTCTGGTATTTTGACAGAGGCACGCTGGCTGTTAGCGTGGATGGGGGAATCAAGAGTTTTTTCTCGTTCAGCACATGGGGCTGAATGAGAAAAATCTATAAGGGGTTCATTTAAGTTCTGCCTGGCCATTTGCATGCACTAGTGCCCCTAGATGGTGCTGTCATATATAGGAATTCCTATACTCGTCAATGCCATCGAGGCGGGGGGGTTGGGGGGGGGAAGGGGGAAGTGATGCAGCAGCCTTTAGTTATTAAGGCTCCTGTAAAGGGAAACTAACGGTTTTCCCTCAATTTTATTTGTTATGAGTTTTTCTAACTTTTTTGATTGTTTAAATAAAATCTTTATCATTCAAATTAACATATAAAAAGGTGCAACTGTGACACTGGTTTTCCTTTAGCAGCTCTAAAGAGAGAACACTACAGAAGCCTTTCCTTTTAACGCTGTTTGTTTCTTTTTAACTGAATATGAAAAATATTTTAAAGCTCCACCTGTTGGCTGGAAATAGTAAATATAGAATAATCAATATTTGATCTTTAACTGACAAAAACTGACTTTAAAACTGTATATGAGTCCTGGACAAAAACTAATAAATAAGGAAAAAATATATAAAAACATAACACACCCCCTTACATACAAGTATCTAGAGAAGGCAAAATAGCAAATAAAAAGGAAAACATAAATAGAAATGTTTATGTTGTAACACTATGACAATGCATATATACACTGAGTGGCCAGATTATTATGACCACATGACGTTTGTAGGCAAATTAGCTATAATTTGGCGCTGAAGTTGTTAGAGGGCCAGACCATTATAAATAGGGGGGCAGGTTGTTTACCACGACAGTAGAAGTGCTTTTTTTCTGAAGATATGGGTAAACAACACGATTTAACAGCCTTTGACCGTGGGATGATTGTTGGCGCTCGGAGCCATGGAGCGAGTATCAGCAAAACAGCAGAATTCGTTAAATGTTCAAGAGCACCTGTTGTTAAAGTGTTTAAAGACTGGACTGTCAGCCGAAAATCTGGGTCTGAACGTGCGAATTGTGGCCGTCAGCGACTAGTCAATGTTAGGGCAGAACGGAGAGTGGCAAGACTGGTACAAGACAACAGAAGGGCAACAGTGCAGTGTCAGATTCCTCGCATCACCTTTCAACATCTCGTGGAGTCACGAGGCGGCCCAAAGAAGTCATCTCGTGGAGTCATCTCGTGGCCCAACGAAGTACTGATGGGGTGGTCATAATAATCTGGCCACTCAGTGTAAAATGTAACCTGACCCCAGCCACAAAATTTACAATTTATTTCTCCCATAACACTTAGATTGAATTTTTAACCTTCAGGGCTTGTTCACACCAAATGCAGACCAAGTCTGCATGAGTTTCTGCACATGCAGTGCAGTGTGTTTTGCCGCATTTTTGCCGCATTCCGGGCCGGTTTTGATGAGTTTGAATGCATTGTGGTGCCTTCCAGAGCAGAAAAAATAGGGCATGCTGCAGTTTTTCCACATGCTCTGGAACTGAACGCTGCAGTGTGAACTAGAGCCGAAAATACCATTGGAATACATTGGGCGCAGTTTTGATCCGTTCTGTAACTGCTCTGCATCTGCGCCGCACTTGGTGTGAACTAGCCCTTAAATTTATCAAAGTTCCTTAACAAAGTCAAAGGATCACCCTGCCCAGCATGATGTACACACTTTGACTTGCTGCCCCATGAGTGAAATGAAATACACAGTACTCCCGGGTATAGGTGAGCTACAATCTCACGGTTAGTTTACTCATTTGTATTGAGATTGTAGTCTGTCACGGCTTGGAGCTTGGAGCGGTGACTACTTTACAACACATACAGGGACCATGGGGAACAAAAGCAGCCACCCTCCAGAAGGAAGG